ACACGTGGAAACGATCGTTCACTTGGACAAACAGTCGATATGAAATCCATTGAACTCTCAGCAGAATTCATCGCGTGTTCTTTAGAAACGAATCTGTCAACATCTCGTTACATGTCGAATAACATCTTCAAAATTTTAATTAAAAGAATTTACGACACCGTGGGAGGGCATCGTTAAAGGCGAGGGGTAATAGATGAAAAAAAATAAAGCTGAGAAAATGGCACATGAGGAGAAACAGGGCGAATGGAATCTATCCGATGAATGCAGGAAGCAATTTTTTTTTATTCTCTTCTTTTACCTTTTTTATTTTACTCTTTGTTTTATGGTCCTTTGGCATCCGGTTCGCTTATCCGGTATGTGGGTAGCTTCAATATTGATTTATTGAGTTTGAGAATAACTGGAGTTGTAGGGAATGATATGAAAACGATTCGTATGTACTTGAATCAGCAGAAAATCCACAATTTAATGAATAATGAATATTCAATTAACGGGAGAAATTTCACTTCGACCTTCACTTTATTTTCTGTTGATCGATCACATCAAAATTTTCCAGTAAAAAATATTGTTCTCCATTAATTCAATGATTTACCACTTGTCGATTGATTCAATAGATAATTTTATCATATTTTCAAGGTTTCTCATTATCTTTCGTTCATGGAAAGTAAATATTCATCGCCTTTTCAGGGACCTTCATTCGGATAATTTTTCAGTGGAATACAATAGCTTAATAAATTAATCTGTGGTACTGTTTTTGAGTTGGAGGTTTTCGGAGAGATTTTAAATATTACTACACGCATTGAACGGGATTTCAAGTACTTATATAGATCTCCAATATTTGTACGATGACGTCAATGATTTATCATTCTCGTTCCTAATTTAATTGAATAATATTCCATTAAAAATCGTTTGTTATCTGGGGCAGTTAATCTTTTGAGAAATTCCGGAGAGATTTTTTCCATCGTTAAATTAATGTGAATTAGATCATTTATAGATTCAGAATTTTTGGTATTTGGGTGGGAGATAATTCAGTGATTTTCAATACTCAATTTTCGATGTTTAATTACACATTACGCTATAGGTGGCTTTGTTGGAATAATTTGAGTAATTGAGATAAACGGATTGTTCCCTCATATCGCCTTTCAAATTGTTAACATTGATACGTGACTCATCCATTATCCATTTATCATGGTGCCCGGAATATTTGTAATATGCGGGATTGATTGTCTGACTAAATTATCCCAATCAATTAAAATTTATTATTAATTTTGGAAGCCATCAATTAAATTCCGCGGAAATAATCCGCGAGACAGACGAATGAAAATTCATGCCATATTAATTGAAGACAATGAAAAATAACTTTCTAAATATTCTAAATATTTACTCATTCATTTATTTATCCATAAAGTTGAATTTCTCCAGAGGTTGACCTTGAACTTGTAAAAAATTTCAAAAGCGAGAAAAAAATTTAGTGAATACCAGGAATTTTTAGTTGACAAGCAAATGGCAAAAACCTTTTAGTATTTCATAAAAACTTGTTCCCTGACATCTAGTAAGTTTTCCATATTCCCAGATAAAGAAGAAGTGGAGAAAGTGGTAAACAGAGGGAAGGGGTTGAAAAGGCTTCAGGGGTGAGAGTTACAGCCCTGTACACAAGACCTATAAGAAATAAAAGGCCGAGAAAAATACATGAGGGGTGAAAAAAAAAAAAATCAGGGTCGTTGGTAGTGAGGGCATGAGTTTACACGATGGGGGTGACATGATCTGGTCATTCGCGTAATTGCGCCCTCGTTGCCAATAAAATCCCCTCCCCCACATTTTCCAAGATATTATTATCGATTATCTCCATCGACTCCACCAAATTTCTTTCCTCTTTTTGCATTATTAAATTCACTAGAACGACCGATTGTTTATAAAAATCTCAAAATATTTTCAACCTTTCATCCCTTCCTCTGACCCTTACTTAATTATTTAATTATTTATTATTCATTTATTACTCGTCAGGCGAATGGAAGATGATTTTTTGAAATTAACGAACCGAAATTAATCGGAAGTCCTAGAATAATCCGTTCACCCAATTAAAAAAAATTAAACCGTAAATAATTGTCTAATTATTTATCACTGTCAGGTTTTGTGTACAGAGATTTAGGGGGGAAGTATTGCGGAAATTGAGAAAGACATAAATGTATTAGCAACCTTTTATCCTCTCACCTCTCGGCAAGATGAGAGCTAATGGATTTTTTTTTTACTCTCAACTCCCGTAATAATCCATTAAAGCCGAGGAAGAATCATAATCAGCGACTCAGAATAAAAAGGAAAATATAAAAAAATGAATATTAATGAAGTCGAGATGATATTTTTCATGCGGCTTAATTTGCACTCGGAATTGAGAGAATATTCGCAAAAATTTTGCACTCCACAATATGAAGGCAATTAGAGTCCCGCGCTGACGTGAATTGATTAATTAACCAATTCATTAACCAAATCATGAATCGGGGGGAGAGACAAATCGCAATTATCACTTGTGTACTATTTCCAAAATAATTATTCATGCGATTGTTTACATGAATGATGAGAGGTAATGGAAATGGAAAAGTTCAAAGTTTTTCAATTACCACTAATTTTTTTTTACTTCTTCTCTAACTTCGGATGAACGATTTTTTTTTCCGGTGGAAACTCAGGAAAGATTGAGTTGAACTGACAGACTCGCATTTTTTTTGGCGAATTTTTTTATTTTTGAAAATTCCTGATGGAGTGCATTCACTCACCACCGGAAGTGACGACTGGCATTTCCGTTTACTTCCGGTTATCGAAAATGGGAGGGGAAATGTCAAGGATTGTTGTCGACTTTGTGGAGACCTGAGATAAAGCTAAACGATTTTTGCCGCTCGATTGACTGAAAAAGAAAGCAACGATCCGACCGATTATCGGGTTGAAGGTTTTTTCGTTTTTTTATCTCAGATAATTTCTCAATTACAACCCGTGTTAAAAAAAATTGTAATCAGAATATTTTTTCCAAACTTTCAAAAAATTTCGGGAGAACTTCAGAAATTTTTTTTTATGAAACAAAAAAAAATCGGGAAACAAAACAATTTTATTTCTCGTAAGAGTTTTGAAAAATTTTTCAAAAATTTGAATAGAACAATTTTTTTTGTAATTATAATTTTGTTATATATTTTTTTTTTACACGGGAAAAGACTTCCTATTTTCAGGGACGGATTTTTCTCGATTCATTTGGAATTCCGTGGATTTCAGGATCGGTCGCGATGGGAATTACAATTCGTGGAATATTTATGTCAATATTTTTATCACCCACTTTGACAGGAATTTATTATCACGCACACCGCGAAATTACCGAGAATATTGTTGGATGATGGCTGGAGGTTTTAGAATTCAGTTAAACCGAACCGCGATTTAATCCCTCGCGGTACATTCCCCACAAAATTCCCCAGATTTTCTCTCCGAAAAAAACCGTCCAATTTCACCGAATATATTCACAGATATCGCTCGACCAATTAATATTAATCAATCAATGACCTATAATTTCCCCCACAAAAAAAAAATTCCGTTTCCCTGGCAATCATAGTTGCTCATTTTTTCTCTCTCGCTTTATCGGTGACACGCAATTATGAGGGAAAATAATGGAGAGTAATGGGCATTGAACGAGCACTCGGAACAAACGAGAATAAGATTGCACGAAGATATCAATGAACATGAATTTTCCGAATGGATAAATCGAGAGTAAACATGAAAAGTTCAATGATCAATTACCGATTGTAAAAACGTGACACTCTCAGAGGCTTTTTACGATTGGATCGATCCATGGAAAAGGGATGGAATCAGGGATGATAATCCGGGATGACCTTTTTATATTTTATGAGTTTGCACTTACGGTTTTATATTCCACTCGACGAATTTCCCGTCATCGCGCATTTTACACCATTTTATTTTTATTCCATTACATAATTGACGATTCATTGATATTTTATTGTAAATAAATCAGGCAATTACTCTATTTTTAATTAGTTATAGTTTTCGCATTAAAAATTGGAGAGTGAGGGAAAAAAAAAGGTTTTTTTCTTTGGTCTCATGATGAATTCAGAATTCTCTCCTTCGGGGTAAATCATAACTCATTATTTATCTCGTTGATTAGTCGTCCTGAGGTGCGAGGGTATTCCCTAATTGTTCAGAAATCCCGAGATTTGTCTACCGAGTTGTGGAATAATCTATGATCTCACGTTGTAGTTCAGTTGCTCCGAAGTTTCCCATCAATTCTCATCTCGAGTTTCACCCAAAAAAAAAAAATACTCCGGAATTAAAAACGGAAATAAACGAATCAACTCATTAATACCAGAATAATCAGCGGATAATTGCATTCCGGTAATCAATTACTTCCGAAATCTGTTTTAACGGATGATTGGAAATATAACACAATTACTCTGTTGACCGAGAAATCAAATTATTATTGCAATTAATTAATTAGTGCGAATACTTAATGGATGAATATTTCCCCCGCGTAAATATTTTCACTCAATGCCTTGCGAGATTGTTAACAGAATTTTCTATGGTTAATTGATAAATAAATAATTACATCGTGTTTGTGCGGGACATAAATTTCCTCGTCAAATACACATCAACCCCCGGATAATCTATTTATAGAAATCATCCCCAAAGGTACATAAAACTCCCAAAATATTGATGAAAAATTCATGGATTCTCGTTTCGCAGACGGACAAATTAATGATCAACAAATAAAATTATTATTCCCCTCTCCCTCCCCCCGGGGCGAATATTAAATAAACCAAAAAACCCTGCAATAATTCCCGTAATTATTCTGATCTGTATTATCCGAATTAATTAATTTATTTTATTGAGATAATGAATTTTTCGTGGGTGGAGAACATCTAGTGCAATTTATAATTTAAACAACAATAAAATAAAAAGTGCTTGAAGTTTGGCTATAAAAGATCGGCGTGAAGTTAAAAGTGAATTTACCAGTTAAGTACAAAGTCAGGGCATCAGAGGATAATTTAAAATTAAATATTCATGAAGCCATTAGAAATAATAGAAAAAAAATTTCATCCGAGTGTAAAAAAATATTTAGTGGAGCTTCTCTAACGGGTACATCGATCTGGATAAATGAAGATATTGTTTAAAGAATGAGTTAACCTGAAAAAATGTCTAATACCCGAGGAATCAAAGACATCGATCCCTCAAAATTCAACTCCGTCTCGAGTGAGGACTGTCCCTGTCCGGACACCCCGACATCCTCTAAACGTCTCGAGAGAATTCCCCGACGGATGAAAACGAGGGGTTGCAGGAGCAGAAGAAATGTTGACTCTGGGAGAGTGAAGAGAAGTCCCTCGAGTGTCTATGAAAAAACTGGGATTGAGAGAGGAAATACAAGAGAAACTACAGCATCTCCAGTTGTTAAAGTCACCAGTGTTGAAGTACTAAAAAGTTGGTCGAGAGACTCACGAACGAGAAGAAAAGATAGAGAGAAATTGGTGAGAGGTAAAGCACGAGGAAATATAGATTTGAATTTCATAAGGCAACACTTGACTATTTTATCGAATTTATTTCAACTCGAAATGGAAAAGCTGTTGTTTTTATCGATTATCTTGAGAACTATCGACTCTACGTTGAAATGTCATCAGTTATTTTTTGGAGATTATTAAAATTCAAAAAGAATTTGTCTTTTCACATTTTCTGCTAAAATCGATAGTTTTTCATCAATTAATCGACATTTATCATCAATTTTTAACCGACATCGAAAAACAACATCTTTTTTTATTTTACAATAATAATAAATGTTAATAATATTCATTTTTCATATTACGCCATTTATTTAAATATTTTTACCTGTAAATTTGGCAAATGTATGGAATCGATATAATTTTCAATAAATTGAGAAAATTCTTAGAGGAAAAATTTCTTTCGTTCTCATTTCTACAGATTCCTCATCAAACCGATCGTCTTCGGATTCCCGAAAACTCCCGAATCATTCCCAAAATCCTCAGAAATCCAAAAAATCGGAGTCATGCAGCTGCTGCGACTGCGTGGAGCGGCTGAAAGCCGAAAGGCTGAAACTCCTCAGCTCCACCAAAAAACGCTCAAAATCCCGATGCACTCCGTCGTCAGCTCCTCCTCAGGGCTCACCAACTCGTAAATTATGCAGCATGCTGAAAACCCGAGCAGCAAAACGGATAATTGGGTGCACCTGCATCAACGACGACTGGAATCCCAGTTGCTCGGTGGAATGCAGGTGCCCTGAAAGCCCTGGAACAAGAACAGTCTCGCGATCATCTAAAAAATCCACGAATGACAACACAAACGGCCCTGACGACTGCCTGAGCATTTGCTCCTGCTCCTCTCCGGAGCGAATCCCTGAAAAACTCAAGCTCCAGGACCTCCAGCCGACGGTGGCACCTCCCAGCAACTGGAAGAATTTCGGTGCGTACCTGAAGAAATTCGGAGATGAGTACAGGATACTCTCGTCACACCTGAAATCAATCCGTCGGGAGATCGAGGCAGTGAAGAAACCTGGTGAGACCTTCCGGAGGAAGATCACCAGGAGGTACCCTGACAAGGAGTTCTCCTTCGAGGTGAGATCGACTGACAACTCCCGGAGGAAAAACAAGTCGACGTATTTTGAAGTTCAAACGGTTGATCGCGGGTGTCAATGTCTTGATCTTCAAAACTCAAGGCCAAATCCGAAGTTCAGACCGAGGATCAGGGATTTTGATCGTTACGACTCCAATTTCGAAGCAGATGAAGAGCAAACGAAGGCCGAGGGCCTCACCTGCAGGAGATCCCTCTGCCAATGCAGTGTAGATCAACCAGATGAAGATGATCAGGCAAATGAAGATAAAGGAGATAAAACAACAAAAGCCAGATTCTCAGAAGAACTGAACAAGTTCAGGGATCAGCGGAATGAGCGTCAGCCCCGGAGGATCAGAACCCGAAGAATTCGCCACGACTTCTCCCTTCCTAGAATAGTCCCAGTGAATCGAGAAGGCAAAGGCAGAGACGAGAACAGAATGATGATCTACCCTCCGAAGGATCAGACCGGCTGTCCCCTGACGCTCTACAAAAGTGGATCCTTCGTCAACTGTTCAGTCGAACAGGTTGATGATGCTGGCTTCAAATATGATGTGTCCTACGTCCAGAGGTATGTCAGCCTGCCCTGGCAACCTGGTCAGTACACTGAACTCAAAGATGACAGCACTGATGATTACGGCTGATCATTCGACGAGAGTTCACAGCACCAAATCATTCAGTTCCCTTCAGCTGGACAAAAAAATTAATCAATCCACCGGTATCAAACAATCGTATGAGTTGAAATTGAATTTAATGGTGATGAGGAAACACAACTCCATGACCCAAATCATGCTTTCACTCAACTGTACAGCAACTGAAGATCGGAATAAAGCGACCTTTTGATATATCTCGGGTTTGAATATCTCGTTTTGATATATCTCATTTGAATTTGAATTTTGGAATCGCAATTTGACTCTCCGGCCGTGAGACTGGTCATTAGTCATGGAGAAAGGGAAATGTCGGGGCTGTTTTCTTTATTCCCAACTGACAACAGACTTTGATAACAGGTGCTTCTGTTCACTTTGTCGATGCTCCGCCTTTTGACTTATTCATTAGCTTAGGATATCTCTGGTTTTATCACTATCTCTTTGGTCTTCAGCTTCTCCATGGGTTTCCTAGGTCTTGATATCTAGGATTACACGGATTAGGTGAGAGGTATTTTTAGTCAGAGGAGATTAGCTTTGTTTTAGGATCCCCTTTAGGGATTCCTCCAGACTAATCCAATCTCAACGAAAAATCTTCTCTACATTGTTGAATATTTCTGGATATTTCAGTCACGAAGTTGTCTGAATTTTTAATCAGAGATTTCAATAATTTCATTAAATTAAATACGTATTTTTTTTTAATTGAAATTTTAGTTGAAGATTCAGTAATTCCAGTTGTCAATCGTTTGGAATAATTCTGGAAAATAGCGAGCAACAAATAGTGAATTGTATGAGAACAAATCTTGGGGATAGTCAATGTTTAATTGCACAGACAGGCAATTTCCTGGATTAAAGGGAGATGAATCCCAGGATGCATAAAATCGAAAATGTTGGAATAGTGGGGAACTGGATCTTTGTTCTCTGGCATTTGCCACTGGCTCAAAACCCATCGGGGAGTGATTTCAATATGGTTTAGGTACTTGCAGACGAGTTTAGATGGATAGCTGGGGAATGGGACATGAGAGGACCATTAAACTTTAACCGTTTGATCGAGCATATCGAAGATGGGATCGTTGGCTCTTCATGCAAACTGCCATGACCTGAATTGCAAATCGCTATTTAAAAAAAAAAATCCCCGATAAACTTTCATTTAACATTTCGATTCCTTTGGACTGACTAAATCTTTTGTTATTAACGAGACCATTCACCCGATGCGACTAAAGGTTTATGGTGATTTGTCATTAAAATCGGTAATTTTTCCTCCCGGGAATTTTCGGAAAATTGTAATTATTTGAATTATTATGGGGGGAGATGCAATTTTATGGATTTAAATATTTTAAATGATTAGATGGGATGCTGAGGGAAATTGTTGAATAGAAAATGGAGCATCTCGAGGGAAAATTAAAGAGAACGGATTTTGTCCCTGAGGGGATCGATCCGGTGCATTAGTACAAACCGGAGGGAAAAAATCTCACGCGATCAGACATTTTTCCTCCCCTTTCCTCATACTTATTACAGTTCTGCACGATTTGGAATGCAAACAAAATATGGAGTATAAAATATTTAATGAAGAAAATTAAATCCCCAAAGTATTTCAGAGAAATTCTCATCCCTTTATCACAAAAAAAAAATCCGGAGGATAAATACGCCGTACAATTACTAAACGCCAGTGTAAATTTCCCAATAAATTTTTTTCCGCATGGCTTTTACCCCTCAATACTCGATTTTTATCTGACCAGAGCTTTTAAAGTAGTTTACCCACTGATAAGATAATCCCTGATTTTTTCCCCCAGTTCACAGCACAGATTACCCACACGTAAGTGCTCGATAATGCGCTAAAAAAATTACAGCACTATGAAAATTCCAGAGGCGCTTTTGATACGGATTAAATCTCATTAAAAGCCCCGGAGCGAAATAATTGTTGAATTATTTTGTTTATGAACAGCAGAATTTTCATTACTCGCAAAAATCGCGGATAATTTACTCCATCTCGACGGAAAATTAATTTCTCCATTATCCCTCTGTGAATTCAATAACAGAAATTAATTTAATCAATCTCGCTTTGATGAATTGCGAGACTGAATTAATTGAAATAGATGAAGCTATTTATTTTTTAATTAATGAATTTCTGCGTTTCGAAATGATGACTGGGAAAAATCGGTATTAAACGTTTTTCTTCGTGATTTTCAATACATCCGTCAATGTGTCAACTGTCAAGTGCGATAACGACACCAGGACGTGAATTTATACGACAAAAGCTTATACCCAGTCGTTAAATAAATGTCAGGGTTAAAATTACGGAGCGATAAACCGGTGAATCGCATACGGGGGATTTGGATTGTCGGCAGACAACGAAGGGCCGACGCTCGAGACAAACGCCAACTCAGTACAATCGGAGGGAAAGAATTTACAATGAGTTTTCAACTTCAAACAAATTTTCCATTCCTCTTTCTATCATTTTTCAGGCTCTTTAATTTTTGTCGGAGAGAAACTAAAATTTCGGTCTATTCTCGAGACTGAAAAGAATTTTTACGTGGGAGGGACAGTAATATCTGCATATGAATACCGGAAAAGTGTTTTTCATTTTAAAAAATGGAGTACTGCAGGTGTTCCGAGATTATTGAATTTATTTAGCAACAAAGAAACTGTAATTAATTAGAAATATTCATGATGGATCGCGCGTTAAATGGAAATTGATTAAAAGCCATGATTTATTATCACGTGTCAACTGTCAGGTATTATTCAATTAATTGGTCTCTTAATTATTAATCTTTCCCTCAGCCTCTTCCACTGTAATTTCACCGAATTTTTAATTTAATGAAGACCCTCGGTTTTTCATTCGAAACTCTTATCCCTCTCCAGTATTTTTTTTTCCGCATTGTTTCCACTTTCAAAAAGAACTTTTCACCTCAAAAAAGTTTTCCGCAATTACCAGTTGTTTTCCTCAATTCAAAAACTTCTCGCGAAACGGTTGCATCATATCGCAGTATTTTTTTAATAAAAAAAAATCTCGCTAACTAAACAAAGAAAAAATTATTTTTATTTTCATTTCTGGAAGCCCGTGATATTTTTACTTCATATCCATCCGGATAAAATCAAACTACACGAATTATTGTTGTGGATCGGTTTTTCCGCGGGACGGATTTACTTTCGCATTGCTGAATTTTTTTGATTGGACGGGAAAAAAAATTCTGGATGAATCAGAAACGAGAAAAAAAAAAGGGGATTTACAACCGAGAGATTGGATTTGATTTGTGAATGGATCGGAGGTATCAAGTTTTATTAAAAGATTTTGAATGGGGTAATAGGAGGTTTCACTCACCGCAATCTTCAGTACTAATTAATAATCACACTTGATTGACTGGCAGATTTATTTTTTTTAATTGATGAATAGCAGTTCGTTATATCTCAGAGTGTAAAAATAACTCTCCGTTATTCCACTCTCCGAATTTATTTCATTTTTTAATTTTTTTTATTATAAAAAAATATGTTATTTAAAATTTTAAATGAGATATCAGATAAAAGTACTAGACGCGCGAAAAAGGGAAGATGGATTGCAGTCGAGAGAAAAAAGAAAAAAATCTCAGAGTGGATGGACTGCAAAATGGTTGTGTAAAGTGGTACCACGAAAATGTGCATTAACGTAATAAGAAGTCCATTTCTGTTTTACGGGTCTTCACCCACGAGTATTCAAACAATTCCCTTGAATCCTTGACTCCTTTATAAAGGAATTCAAAGGAAAGTCTATTGCGCTTCGATGTAACGAATGAAGAATAAATTCTGTTGGAATTTTCGCTTGAAAAAAATGCGTTTTGCCCATTAAAAAAAAATTAATAAATAAATTGTTTGAGAAAAACTCGAGTGTTGGGAGAAAATCCCCGAGGGCCTTCCCTCCGTTTCCCCGACACTTTTCTTTTTCTGCAATCAATTTTTATGCATTAATTAATGATTTTAATGACGGAAATAATTATTCCCGTAATCCAATCGTCGATTAGTTATTTTTAATTGTTTTTAATTATTTTCTGGTCATTTATTCATCCGAAATTTTGGAAAATTATGTTTTCTGGAAGTTTTCGATCGGAGAAATGACTGCTTTATGTTCAATTAATAATAGTAATTATTATTATTATTTTTTGATGATGGGGTCGATGATTTCATCACCAGAAATTTTCTCGACGTCGGAATAATTACGTGGCACGTTTAACTCTAGTAAATAATATTAAGGATGAAATGGAATTGTGTAAAAAGTAGTTGTAGATGTTGGAATACCTGAGGAGCTAACGACAGTTCGTTAGTTACGAACTGACGTCGACAAACTGAATTTTCGTCCCATAACGACTTGGGGTTTAACTCTGATTTGTTAGCACCGCAAATTCCCAGACCTTAAATTGCGTTTTACCCTGAGTCCAACTACCAAGTAAAAAACACCCCACACATGCCTCAAGAGACACAATTTTATATTTTTAATTAAAAAAATTAGAATGACATAAAAAAAATGAATGAATGAATTTTTCACTTCGTTCATTCCCTTTTTGGAGGATATCTCTGGATGGGAAGGAGATAGCGAAATTTTTGTGAACGGATCTTTTGTAGCTATTATTCCGCTCTACAAAAGAAGTTCTAATGAAAATTTTTTTATCTCTCTTAGATTCGGAGATACTCCCGGTGAAAATGAGTGGCAATTTCTATGTTGGGGAATTAATTACCTCTAATCATCCGCCGCCGATAATTAACTGTAAAATCCTAGAATCCCTTTAAAAAAACACGATTATTAATTATTGCGAAAAGCAACAATTTTTCGCGACTCATTCTATTTTTGAATTTAAAAAAGGGGAATAACTCAGCGTCCAGTCAGCCGCATGACAAAATTATTCCGTCCAGAAAGGAAATAATTCTCAATTCCAATTCCAATTCTTAAACAATAAATAAAAAATACATTTACCATTCGTTGTATTAATTACTAAACCTCCGATTTATTTTCCATGACTTCCCAAAATGAATGATAAAATGCACAAAATCTCATTGACAAATTAAAAAAACCAGTGAACACCGAGAAAATATTCAACAATTCCATTCGAGAGCTCTCAATTAACTTTTAACAAACGCAAATACCCAATGTACCGTTGAATTACTGTTCATTTATACCGAAGAGAAACTCGCGAATTTAGTGCGCGA